ATAACTCATTAGTAGCAAACTCACTGAGTTATATCAGACTAAAATCAGGTAGGGACACAATGCAGTGCTTACTAGCGTTTCTCTGAGAGGTCTATTCCACTGGAGAAAGCTTTTTGTACTATTTGTAGCCAGGTGGGATCAGACACACCATCTGATATCAATCCTTCCTTCACTTTATCAAGTCTTTGCTTTAATGACTGGCAGGCTAACAGTGCACCCTGTAGAAATTAATAGAAATACAGTAAAATTTCTATTATTATGGTCAAGAGTACATGTAGATCTACTCTTGTTATGGTACAATTAAGGTAATATCTTTATAATAGAAATGCAGCGGTAAAATTTTGCCTGACTAAAAGTACTGCGTAATGGTAAAATTATTATAATTTTTTACATTATTAATGTACATTGTGAATGACATACTTTACAGTTGATCTCACTGGTAACACTACCACCAGTTGTAGTGTTGTTGGGGCTTGTGAATGTATTAGTAGGTACAACAGTAACTGAGCTCAATGGAATACCAAGAGTACTGGCAGTGACCTGTGCAACCTTCACAAAAAGAACATTGTAAGTTAATTTTTAATATATTCATTCTATATTCTTGGTTTTATAACATTATTACCATATAGAGGAAATCTAATTTTCATGGATTTCCCATTTTTCAAAATTTACAAATTATGACACAAAAATAAAATGTGCAAAGATAAACTTAATACCCCAAAAAATAGGAAATCACAAAAATTAAAGCCATGAAATAGATTTTGAATGAATCAGCAAATTTTTGGGTCATAAAAATATTCCACTATACGGTATTATAGTATTTATTGTACTTTATTTTTAAAACTTACTTTAGTGTTAATTCCTTGTCCTATCTCAACTCCTCCATGTACAACAGAGACTGATCCATCCCCAGAATACACACTAACCAATACAGTGCTATTAGTCCCATTCCATTCTAGACCATATCTCAATGGGACCACAGACAACCCTCTCTTCCTCCACCTGTTAGCCTACAGGGAATGTGTTATTAAATCATATACTGAATGTTATATTCAGTGTCACTTTGTTAAAGTCTGAGATTTTGCCTTTTCCAGCCTGGACATCAGCAGTCTTCATCATTTCTGTGAGAGTTAAGAATTTTGTAAGTTGCAGCATAAGAGAAATAAGGGCTGTAAATTTCGCGAATTTTGTAATTGTTTGAAGATTCATACAAATCAAATTATTTTGGTACAAGGTGACAGACGGCATAAATTCGCAAAAATTAAATCCACAAAATACATGAAGAATTTTAAAAAATTTGAGAAATCTAAAGCCTTTAAAAAATTTTTCGCTACATGGTAGGTCTTGATTGTACATGCAATATCCAGTGATACTAATACATGTAGATACATGTACATGTGTGAACTTACGTTGCCAGAGGTCATCAATATTACAGTATGTCAAAGCCTGTCCCTTTGGTGGGAATGACTGCAAGAAAAGAAAGAGAGAAAGGATTTATTAAAGACAGAGGAAAAGGCAAAAATAAAAAGACAAAATTGATAATAACTTACCAGAAGAGAAATGTCTCCTTTCTTATAAAAGTTGGCATGCTTGAATTCCTCGACATCCATGCCTATCTTGGTAGCTACATCATCCATTAGTGACTCAATAATGAACACACCAGGCAGATACCCTAACAATACAGTTACCAATGAATGCTATTAGTTACAGTGAGTGGATTTCGAAGCTGAAAATACTGTATATGCCATATATTTTGTGAGTGTAAAATTTTGTTTTTGCAAATAAAAATTTTGTGATTTTAATGTAATTACCACATCTACTATAATCAGCACGCTATTTTGCAGAGTTTAATTTTGTGAAATTTAATCCCTACAAAAATACATGTATGTATATGGCGTATAGAGTACAAAAAATGATATTTCCAGCAAAATTCCTTACAAAATTAGTACATAATATTAGTATGCTTTGTATGCATTTTGATGCCTACAAATTCTTACCAGGTGCCCTAGTATAAGTATTACTGGGAGTGTGTGTTCTGCAGGTAGTCTGTGTTATTGACCAATTAGAGCAGTTGTAAGCTATAATAAGAAATATGACATAATTATGCTACCATATAGCGCAAAATTTTCAAGGGTGGTAAATTTCATAGATTTAACTAAAAAACTTTTTTGAGGATTTAATTTTTGTGAATTTATGCTGCCTGCCATCTTGTACCGTAATAATTTGACATCCACAAAAGTAATTTTAGCAAATCTTTAAAAATCGTGAAATCCATGAAATTTACAGCACTTGAAAATTTTACACTATACGGTATGGCATATACATGTACATGTAAGCTAAACATACTGTTATCAAGGTTTCTTAGTGCATAAGGTAAGTAGGAGTCATTGCTACTGCAGCCAGCATCAGTGTACACATCAATTTTAATCCCATTTAGAACCCCAGCCTTAGTACAACCAACCTGTGGGAGAAAACAAGGGAAGAGATGATTATGATGTACGTGTATCTACATGCAGTAGGGGAGAGGTCTTACAGTGTATTTGGCATAGTAAGGGTATCTCTTCCCAACCATTTTCATGTTAGACTCAAGATCCATGTGTAGCCTCACTGGCCTGTAAATTACATGCATGTAGTCATTAAGTATAATTATTATCAAACTAATAGAGGTGGGCGATATGATACCAAAGTACTCATATATCTGATACCAGGCCTCCAATACCAAGTACTCGATACCAAATCCTGGTATCGAGTAGTAAGTAACCACACCCCACCACAACTATTTTTGACGTCATACTTATGGCCACACCCTTTAATAATTACAAAATGGCGACTTATTTATCTTCATTTTTATTAATAACTAATTATAACTTAATTGTTCATGCACAGTAGCTGACTACTCATTCACTACTCGATACCATCAATACTGAGACTCAGACTACTTGGTATCGGTATCGATTCAAAATTTCTGGTATCGCTCACCTCTACAAACTAACCATAAAGCCATTTTATTAATAATTTATGAAAAGTGGTAAGAGCATCTACATGTATCAGTTGTGGGTCAATAATTTTTACCAGATACATGCATGTGGTGAACCTGTTTTTCTTATAATGTGTAGGCTGGCAAGCACATTGAGTCATGTTTACTCTACATTGCTTGCTTCATGCAAACACTATATGGTACATGGTTAGCATAAAACAATTTTGTGAAAATCAAAGAAAAATTAATTTACATTGCAGGGTCTCTAAAGACCCTTACAAAAATTGTATTGCCCGATAGTTCAGCCACTCTTCAGACTAGACTAAATGACTTAATGACTTGACATACCACCAAGTGGTTTTATACTCAGGTATTTGTAAAAGCTATCATGGGTTGCATGAAAATGTGGTTAACATTTCTGTACTTGTGTAAACTACATGTACATGTGATTACAGCAATGGGCTGGCTTTTCGATCAACTTTAAAGGGACATGTTCACGAAAGCACGTCATCTTAAAAAAATGGCCCGTTTCTTGGCATAATACATGTATTCATATTGTGTAGCATAGATAACTATTCATAACGTGTGGTCATACCAATAAATATTAAGGCCAAATGGCTACTCGAGTGGCTACTTGTACATGTAAATGTTCCTGGTGTTTCTTCACTAAAAGAGTGTCTGGGGGTAGTAAAAGAGCTAATACTGGTAGAAAGAAGTGTTCTACAGATGCCTACTCCTGGTTCTTGGCCTGATTGCTGTATCTCTACACTCTACGTGTGTCTAAAGACGTGTTATAACTATTAATTAATAATCTGTTGCACACCCAATTTAATGTTTACTTCCTCTACAGTGACGTGTGCATCTATTTCCATGAACATGTCCCTTTAAAATTATGTCATTCATAGTACATGTACATGTATTTCATCACATGCAAACACATACACATTTTTTCTAAACATTCAACTCTCTCTCTCTCTCTCCTTCTAACCTTTGAGTGACGTATGATCCTAAAGCACAGGCAGCTGCTACCTGAGAGGCACGACTGATTTTAGACCCGTAAGCACCGCCCACTCTTTTAATGACTACTGTAACCCTAAATAAAATATATATCATTTATTAATATAGATCAACCATACTAAAATTCGATCTATTATTGATCTAAAATGAATACTTGTTTTCTGGTATTCCAAGTATGCCAGCAACAGCAAATTGTCCCAACTGAGCCCACTGGTTTGAGCTGTAGACTGTATAACCATCATCCTCAGGTATTACAAATGCAGTCTTAACATTAAAACAAGAAGGGAGAGAGAGAGGGAGACAGAAAAAGAGAGAGAGAAAAGAGAAAGGAAGGATAGGAAAAGTAAGATAGAGATAAATATATCTATTACTTGAGTCTCCATAGTGAAATGATACTGTGTATCACAATAAATGTCACCAGTAACAACATGATCTGATCCTTTAATAGAACCTGTAAAAAGTACTTGATTACACATTGCATAGCGGGAAATTATGGAGGGAATTAAATTTGGCAAATTTTGCGTTTCAATAGCCATTTGCCAAAATGAAATCCATCATTTTGAGCCATTATACGCAATTACGCATGCTCAACAGCATGTGGCCACTAATTCGCCAATCACCAAATTTTAGCAATTTGCCAAATTTACATCTAACTCCCTCCAAAATTTCCCGCTATACAGTATGCAGTATACATGTACATGTATTTAGGCTTTTACATACCATCAGCATCTCCAACAACAATATCTGGCTCTTTATCATAAAAGGATTTAGCATCAATAGCATCTTGTATGGTGAGTATCTGCTTCCCTTGAGTCTGGTAGGTAAGAGTTACAGCTTTGGCCATTTGAAGAGCATGCTCTTGAGTATCAGCCAGTGCTAGTCCAACTGCTTGACCAGCATACTCTGATACATCAGTAGCAAATACCTACAGTACATTGTACATAAAATGTTTGTTGGAATTTTTGTGATTTAAAAATTTTTTCATAATATTTATCTCATGTTAATAAAATTTATTAAAATTAATTTTATTGGATTTGAGCCTGCTTGAAAATTAATTCAACGTGAAATAAACCAACTATTACATGTATATATGGTACATTGGGATTGTAAATGTACAATGTATGTGTACTTACAATCTCAGGGTCACCACCTAATCCAAGCATAAAATCATTCTTTCCATTTTGAGGAATGTCTTTAGCAGACACTATTGCTACTGCACCTTCGACTGCCTTTAAAATAATAAAAATAAAAAATGTTAAATATTTCATGATTTTGTACCATTGCTTCAGATGTTTCCATTGATAATATCTTTGCATTACCCTGTTCATAAATACATGCATATTATTATAATAATAGTGTTGACTAGTATCTAACTTGAGTAGTGAGTACAAATGCTGCAGCCAGCTCTCCAGGACGACGTGGAATATCAGTAGTATACTCTGCCTCACCTGAAGCCTAAAAGGACAGTAAAAGAAAGAAATGAGAAATCCACACGCACACTATAACTCAATGCATAACTTGGTAAACAGTACAAACACTTGTATTTCAAAATTATAACTACATGCATGTACATGTGTACATGTACATGGATGAAGTTATAGGCTATGGTTATGATCAATAGTTTATGGTTATCTATAAACTAATAATTCTATGTACATGTAGTACATGTACGTGTACAAGCTCAATTTCATTGTGCTACATGTACATGTACATGTACCTGTAGAGTAGCAGTCAGTTTGGGTAGTGGTTGATTCACAGGATACTTGCTGGAGTCAGTGCTGTATGACTGGGACCCTTGGGACACTGGACGAACATAAGGTACAGCTCCTGACTGGTAGAGGGGATTAATGTTAGCACTACCAAGAGCCTCAAGATAAAACTAAAATAAAAAAAGAGTCAAGAAAGATAATAAGTAACAGGCAAAACTATTTTTAAAGAAATACCCAGTACTATATACATGTACATGTAGTTCAGGGTCTTTGGCCCAATTTTTGGGCAATTTTAAAAATTCGTAAAAAATTCAATTTTGATCAGAATCAGGTCAAACTTTCTACGCAACATAAGTACATGTATATGCATCAGAAAAAAGTATTAAAATGGAGAATTCTCTCTTTTTTATTTTTGACAAATTTGACCCGTGACACTGTACTATAGTACAGGGATTTTGACCCAATTTTCGAGCAACTTCAAAAATTTGTTAAAAAATCCAATTTTGATTGGAAATAGCTTAAAACTTCTGAACAACATTAAAACATGTATATGCATTAGAAAAAATTATTAAAATGGAGAATTCTCTCTTTTTTATTTTTGACAAATTTGACCCGTGACACTGTACTATAGTACAGGGATTTTGACCCAATTTTCGAGCAACTTCAAAAATTTGTTAAAAAATCCAATTTTGATTGGAAATAGCTTAAAACTTCTGAACAACATTAAAACATGTAAAATAAAATGAAAATTGACAAACACCCTGTAGTATCAAGCAATGTACATGTACATTGTATTACATATTACTGTAAGATAAAGAAGTTACTGTACATGTACATGTACATACACATGTCCAATTGTCCATACCTTATAAAACAGGCTTAGAGTGAGGCTCTTCCTATACCCAGGACTAGCTGATACAGGAGGGGCATTAGGTCTGATCTCAT